TTTACTCCAGTTTCATAGCCTACTGTGTTCAAATATCATTTTAATAAGAAAAATTGATTTATACGTATTTGCTGATACTAAAATTCCATTTTTGATTTCAACTTTCCTGACATTAACTGGTCTTACCCGAAGTATTCTGATAATACATACTGAATATTTATTTTTCTATAAGCTATCTAGAACTGACTTTTCTCAAATTGTTACAAAATACCGAGATAATAACAAAATCCCTCCTGGCTGGATTTAATTTTAACTACGGATTATAATTTAATGCCTTTCCGGGAACATCTTCCTAATATTATCTATAAAATCTAATATTGTTTATAAAAAACCAACCGGCCTTCCTAACAGCTCATGCTCTCCTAAAAGTCTTTTATCTGTTGTCTTAAATCGATGGGCTCAGTCACTATGTCTATTATTATCTATCCCTGTGGAAAATTATTTTAATTCCGACATCTTGGAATACTACTACTGTCTACTAGAAAGGAGACAAATTCAGTATTCTATGATTTCTTCTTGAAAATAATTCATTTACACTGTAAAAAAATGTCACTCAAATTTCACTCAATTTTACTCAGTAATCTATCGACACCCGATTGAGTGAAATTTTCACTCTATTAGTATGAGTACAACTGAGTGAAACTATTGCATCAGAAATGAGTGAGTTTTACTCAAGTCCGAGTTACTGCTAATTATCAATTGAGCGACTTTTGACTCTTTTCTGAGTATATAAAACCAATTTAGAGTTGACTTTTTCTCTAATATACAAGATATTTGAGTGATAGTACTCAGTTTTAGTTTAAATATAATCACAAATGAGTAAAATGATCAAAATACCCAATATTGAGTGAAAATGTACTCAAAAATTTCACTCAATGGATTCACCCCGAACCTTTATTGCTTTCGCTCACAACGATTTTTTTACAGTGTAGAGAGAATTTATGAATTTCTCCTTACATGGTTATCTGCCTTTTTTAGTAACCGTAAATCAGGGTCTAAGTAGGAAGCAGCTCCTCCGAATTTAAAAATGAGAGAAGCGGTGCTCCTCAAGGTTCTGTTCTAGGACCTCTATTATACCTGATTTACACATCTCATGTTCCTGCTATTTTAGTTTCTAAATGTTCTCTCTACGCCGAAAACACCAAAAATATATAGCAATTCCAAAAACGTATGTAGGGTTACTTTGTGGGCAATTAATTCTCTACATTTGACCTTGAACTGACCTTAACGTAGATCTGATCGGATCAAACGGACATCGTATTCAGATTTACCGACCCCAAAAACATATGAATACTAGTATGTATGGTTACCTACTTTGTTGGCAATTGATTGATTTGACCTTCAACCAGAGCTAATCGAGTCAAACGGATTCCGGATTCAGATTCAGCGACCCTAAAAACATATAGATACCAGGGTCTTGTCTTTCGGATATTTCACTTTTTTTTGTGGGACTGTGTTATAACCATATTTATGGATGTATAGACCGAAGAGAATCCACATGCTTTGGCCGAACTTCATCATCCACAACATGCAATTTCCTCTAAATGTACGGATTGGAAGTCTTGGAGATCGCTTAGTTAAGGGCCCCATATTCTTTAAATAGTGTTTTCCGCAAAGACAAATAATTTTAAACATTTAATAACTGAATAATCTAAAGCTTATCAAATAATAAGAATGTTATGTCATGCCACCTGAGTATTTTCAAAGACGCCGCAGTAAAACGAATAAACAGGTGCAAAAAACGATCAAACCATCAAGGTTTTAGGTACTGAAATCTACGAAAATACTAACTTTTTTATATATAATTCCACATGTAAATATTCTTATAACATTTATTTGCTTAGTCCTACATATAAAATTGTTTACTTTTATTTATAAGTATGTGAAAATAATTCTTAAAATGTGGGGTTAGAATAACAGCAATCGCATGTTTTACAAACGCTTTTTTTAGTTATTATTTTATTTGAGTAAATTTAAATGGTAACAATGAATAAACAAAACATCAAGGATTTTATTTTTGTGCTTACTTTTGTTCTACACGTTTTACTTTTAAAGTTTTCAGTAGGTCAGAAACGCCAGAAATTTCATTATTTCTCGGCCAGGAATATGGCCACCTTAAGTTTTTCCGCTTAAATCGAATGGAGACACATTCTCATTTTCTTGAATAAGTACTTGCTGTACTTCTTGAAGATATACCTTTAGGTTTCAGATTTCAGCTTTGATTTATGTCTTGGAATGTTGTCTTCCTCGGATATCGGATTTAAATCCTACAGATTTTTGTAGATAGGATCTTTAGCGTACAAGACATCTGTGCAAGATAATCAAGAACTGAAACCTCTTTATTGATTTATGGGCGGTAATTTCAAATTATCCAAGAATTTTGCCATGCTTCGACATACGCAGTCGTATTAGTGGTGGGACGTGGTCTTTCCAACATTTTCTATGACATTTTATGATTTTTCGTTTATAATTAAGGCTTCTTTCAATTTATTTTCTTTCACTTTGTAGAAAAAGTGTATATTTATTGGAAAAACAAAAACTAAATTTTTCTCTTCCCGTTTAAAGAGCTATAAATCCGCAGAGAGAAGAGATTTTTTACATGAAAAATAATCCCTAATTTTCAAAGAGCAATTTTTTGTACTTATTCATTAAATATTCGAACAGTTTTTTAAAATCACTGTACTTTTGCGTAATAATTCAAATTTGGTACATTCTAAGCGAACTAAACAAGAACTAGTAGATATACGAGTATCTGTTCGTGGGTGACACAGTTCCGTTTCCAATCCATGGACGGCATGTTATTAACTCGAACGTAAAGGGCGAAAAATAAAAAAGGAAATAGCAGAGAGATAACCCAGATAGGAAGTGATAACGAGAGCGAGAGATCTGAATGTAATTGCTCGACTTAGGTTGGAATTTACTTTTTACTACTCAATATCATATTAATCGTTCCTGGCATTTCCTACTATTCTCAATTTATCCTCTCCGAGAGAGAGGGTAATGAATTTCCATTCTTATCTGCAGAACCGTTTATTTATGATTGCCGAAATGCGATTGAGTGTTTGCAACAAATATAGTACGGCGTTCAGTAAATTAATTAATGACACCGGATATAAATTAAATGTCACCAAGTTTAACACAATTAATTTTCAATTAAATATGGCGTGGCATTTCTATGTAACACATTTTTAAGACAATTTACGGATACTCGGTTGAGGAAAATAAGAACCTCATCCAAGAGAAAATTTTAACTCTTCTACAAAATTTGAATCCGAGATTATAGTCTATTAGATTTTAGAAAAATGTGGTAATTACCTACAGTTACATGAGACCCAGTCCGCCGATATTTTTGGGTTCAAGGGTTCAAGCTCTTCTGTTTCAGGTGTAGAAACAGATCCAGTGTCGATAGAGTTTCTACAAAATTTTCCACTGTTTTGGAGCCGCTGGTGAATATTCGAGCAGAGAAATCCATTTATCATTCCAGCAGAAGAGAGTAAAGAGAGAATAGAAGAAGAGAGAAGAATATTTGAGAAGAGAGAATAATATTCAAGAAGAGAGGAGAATATTCAGAAGAGGGTGAACATTCGAGCAGAATATTCTAGCAGAAGAGGGTAAAGAGGTGAGAGGAACAGAGAAGATTATTCGAGGACAGACGAATATTCGAACGGAAGAGGGTGAATATTCGAAGAGAGAGAATATTCCAGCAGAAGAGGACGAGAGAAGGCGAATATTGAGCAGAAGAGATGAATACAATAAATATCTACAAGAATCTGTGGTACCTAGCTACATTAGTACTGTAGATTTTTGAGGGGACTTGTTTTTAAAAATAAATATAAAACTAAACTTTGTAACATTTAAATTATTCATTGCGTGATCACGTCGGTGATAATTAAATTCTCTTTTATTCCATCACGAGCTGCACAGCAACTGAAATTGCTGTGCGACGAAGAAAATGCAATGCAACACCGTGGAGAGTTTCGCATTTTTCAAGTTATCGATAAATATATATAGTTACATGGCGAAGTCTTAATATCCCTAAGGATTTGTTTGTTATTTATCCCGCTCTTGCGGAACGAATTAAGGCTTTTAAAAATGCAATTTTCTTCACCTGTAAGTTAATATTAATGCGATTAGGACATTATTTTTGCAATAAAAATGAGATCTCTATAATGAATACATTATAGATCTGAAGATTATTAATGAGGAAGGAATGTAGGAATTAAAAAAATTATGAATTTAACTGGAAATAACTGTATCAAGTTACTCAAGGTGGATCATTTTCACGGAGCTCTTTGTGTACGTATGTTACTTGCTCTGATGAAGGCTTGATGAGCTTATCTTTAAGCTCGTGGTCATTAATCTATTGTCAGATTACAAAGTTTTTGACTAATGCAGTATTCCGAGCCAAGAGTACCACAATATATTAGGTTGCATGGCTACTTTACAGATTAGACAACACAACATACATTTACGTCATTATTTTAAAGGCACGTCAGCTGTACAGCGTCCAGCTCTTTCCGTGAGGAATAAAAAGGTTAATTAATGTTCGTTCAAAAGAGCGCTTGCAATGGAGTTATTTTAGTAGACAAATAATTGCGTTTTCTGACCCATTCCCAGTTCGGAACAGGCTTTAGGGTGTGGAAAGAAGTGGAAAACGTCAGAGGCATCCAATCCTGGTCGTCGTTTGAAATTGTCTACAATAGCATATGTGAATATTGGAGTCCAAAATTCTTGTCTTCCGAACAAAAACTGCTCGTACAGCAAATTTGTCAAAATCATTTGAAATCTTCGGATGCAGACCATAACTTTCCTCCATAGGTGATGAAACAACTTAAATCCACCACTGCTGATGGAACATATACATATAATTGAGCACATATGCGGATTGAAGGAAAAAATAAAGACTTTCAAAGAGGGGATGCAAAGAGGAACGAATAGTTAAAAATAACAGCCATGTTTCATTTATTGTCATCATTGGTTTATTATTAAGAATATTGCTATTCATTCTAAATAATATCACATAATACTGATCAACTGATAAACACTAACGAAAAATAAGTTCTTAAACACATTTAATTTATGAACAAATGAAATTTCCAACAATTATTACTATTAAGAGTTCTGGTATTACTTTTTCCTAAAACAAAAATGAGACAGAGTGACTAGTTTCACACTGGATTCGTACAACAACAGATTTAATTTGAGATAGAATAACCAAATATATAATTAAGTTTGTCAAGATAACTACAATGGGAGCAATTCTTTCCAAAAAATAGATATAGTCAAGAACAACGGTACGTGTACTGAATTGTCAGAGAAATTTCAATACCAAATGGTACTATCTATACTAAAATGACTTTCTTTCAATTTAATGATCTTGTTTTATAATAAATTCTGCTATTGGAGGATCTTCATATCTATCTTTGGCAGAATTCCTCGTAACTTCTTCATCCCAGAACTGTATCATTTCTATGACATCAGTGTGACCAAAAGCTAAGGCTTCTTCTAACGGCGTTTTACCCCATCTGTCGCGTACTTCGTATGGAACGCGACAGTGCTTTAGAAGGAACTCCACGCAGTTTATATGCCCTTCTGCTGCCGCTAAATGAAGGGCAGTTCTACCGTCGTAATCTGCGAGGGACATGTCCATTCCTGACAGCTTGTGCCTTAGAAAAAAAGTTAAATATAACCATAAATGTTAAGGTTGTTTGAGGAGGCCTTACCTTCTTAAACCTGGTAAGTCCCCGGAAGCAGCAGAAAACAATAAGTTGACAATATTGAGACCTATACTTTCAAATTTGTGCTTTCTAGGGTCAGACTTGTTGGAAGCATGTTTCAAGTTGTCATATCTATGGAAGTTGAACTTTTTAACTAACTCCTGAAAAAACATATGATGTAGTTCATTGCCTATCTAACCTTAAATTATTTCAGTTATTCACCTCGCAGAATTGTACCCCTCTACAGCTGTTTCCCAATGTATCCAAAGGAGGGGAGTACAAACACATGCCCATTACGTTTGGAACAACAACGAGCATTGCACCACTTACCCCAGATTTAGCAGGAAGACCAACCTAAAACAAAAATAGTAGTAATAGTAGTAGTAGTAGATAGTAGTTGTAGTAGCAGTAGGAGTAGCAATAGCAGTGGCAGTAGTAATAGTAGTACAGTGTCAGAAGTTTACAAAACTTGAGAACATTTTTGTCTCCAAGGATGTACCTTAAATGCAAATTGTCCAGAGTAGTCGTACATCCCACAACTGTGCATTAACGACAATACGTCTCGGACACTTTCTGGCTTAAGTACCTTTTCTTCAGAAACGGGACAAATTCCACCATTTGCCAATGTAGCTGCCATGACGGCGACAATATCACAATTCGCTTCAAGTGAGCAACACTAAAACATTGATACTTATTGATTTTGCTATATGGCAAACACAGAACTCAAATTTAGCAAGGACCAAATTTCCCTTTTTTATCTGAATTTAGCAACCATTTGGCAAAATTACATCTTCTATGTCATTCCATTTTATATTGCAAATGATTTTACCCAAACATATTCGTAAATCGAATCAGCTTTTTAACCAAGACACACAGGAACAAAAAGTTACGGTTAGTTGTCAGCGACACGTTTGACAATTTTATTAGAATTTGTTACACTACTTATCACGCCATTCATTCTACTTACTTGGAAATAAAAATCCATATATTCATCAAATTCTGAATTCTAGAAATACAAAATTATGTGTCGTCAGGCGTTTTAAATGTTCTTTATTACCAGAAAAATCTAAATACAATAAACTTTTTTAAAAAAACATTAATTGTTTCTTTTACAAGAATTGGTTGCCTTTCAAGTCTATTGGGGCGATACAAACAGGGTGTCTCACGGTGACGGGCCATTAGAATTATTTCAGACTACTTCGATTTGAATTTTGAAAATTTGGGATACCGGATTTTCGGGCATGAATTTCCCAACTAAAATAATGGCGTCCGCGTACCACTTCCGGTTGTACCGGAAGTCGCCATCTACTTGCTTATTTTAAATTGAACACCCTATATATTATTGCAATTTTGGATTCTACGTGTTATTTTAGGTGGACTTTTATGAAGTTTCCCTATTCCTAAAATTAACCGTTTTCGATTTATTTAATTTTTTTCAAAAAAATGGAGAAACAGTGACCAGCTTCAAACCATGTGTATTTTATAGTAAGAAAGATAAAGCAATAATATTTATAGGGGGGATAGCTGGATCCCTAAGCTTTCCATCCATACATTCAAAGTGGCTTAATTGCATACAGGGTGCTAGAAATTTAATGCCGAGTTTAGTTAACTTCAAACCTTCATAAGTCGATTTTTTAAATAGAACACCCTGTATGTTTTTCTATATTCTGATACACAATTTTATTCTCTTCCGAACGGTATCATGGTTCCCTATACCTATCTCTTCTAGTTTTTAAATTACCTACTATTTTTTCTGTAATCACCTAAAATCATGTAATTTCTTGCGAGGATAGCTGTGGAATTTTTAGCAAAACTTTAAAACAAACAACTAAACTGTCACAAATTTGCGACCAATGAGTAGAAAAAAGTTTATTTTAGTAAATTTTAGTAAATCAACTAGAGTATGGTCGAATTTGTGAAGAAAGAATTTTACCAAAAGCTATAACTTCAAATGAAGATAATGTAATAAATGTGCTAGCCTATTTTAATGTTCATTCAGAATCCTCAACTCGTGCCGCAGAGTATGATTTAGGCATTTCACGAGCGTCCATTCACAGGATTCTAAGTACTAATGATATGCATCCATACAAAAAATATTGTTGCTTTATCTTTCTTACAATAAAATACATATGGTTTGAAGCTAGTCACTGTTTCTCTACATATTTTTGAAAAAATTAAATATCTCCAAAACGGTTAATTCTAGGAATAGGGAAACTTCATAAAGGTCCACCTAAAACAACACGTAGAATCCAAAATTGCAATAATATATAGAGTGTTCCATTTAAAATAAGCAAGTTGATGGCGACTTCCGGTACAACCGGAAGTGGTACGCGGACGCCATTATTTTAGTTGAGAAGGGCATGCCCGAAAACCCGGTATCCCAAATGTTCAAAATTCAAATCGAAGTAGTCCCTAAAATAATTCTAACGGGCCGTCACCGTGAGACACCCTGTATATAATAAATTACCTGAAAATAAAAGTCCATGCACTCTCTAAATTTACTGTTTTCTGGAAAACATTTATGCTCCCTCATATAAAATCCTAAGGCATAATTTCTATCAGCACATTCCCGTTCAGACAAAAATACTGCATTATTGAAGCCCAAGTCCTCTCCTCCTGCTAGTTTCTAGAATTTACAAAACGATTTTGTATCTTTTCCAAAGACGCACCTTTATACAAATATTTACTGACGTTTAGCTAACCTCAAAGTAATTCATTGTAAAATCAAATTTTTCCGCAGAACTCATCTCTGGCCGATGTATGGTCTTGAGAAGTGAACATATTATGATAGCCCCAGCATTTATCATAGGATTGTGAGGTTTTTCTAAAAAAAATACATTATAAGCAACTTTGGAAATCATATCAAACTATACTCACTATTATGGTCTAGAATAAGTTCATTGAAGTTTCTACCACTGGGTTCTTGACCAACATAAGTATGAACTACATCAGCACCAAGAAGATCCAAAGCTATAGCGTATGATAGAGGCTTACTGCAAGACTGAATAGTAAATGGTATAGTCACGTCTCCGATAGAATACCTTTGCCCATCTATAGTAACTATGCTAACTCCCCAGTAATTTGGACTCATTCTTTTTAGTTGGGGAATATAGCACGCTACCTACAAAATATCGATTAAGCGTCGTTTTTGGTGTTACATTTCTTTTATTACATTGCCATCGGTATTCTCTTTGCATTTCCAATAAATTTCTTCTAATTCTTTACTAAAGCTTTGAAATTCTGGTATTATGAACTGGTGTCTAAATGCCGTAGACAAGAGAGCGATGCTTGGAGATATTATACTGAAATACATTTGGAAGAACAAATTAAAGATCAACTTCCACATAGAGTCAGGTGGTCAGACTGTGTCCATACCATGTGATTTAATGCGAGCGACTATTGACTAAATGAGTTCTTAAATTTGTGATCAGGTAATGATCCCAAATCTGCACATACAACATAAACTACAACAGTTTGGATGCCGTACCTTCTGGCACAACACCATATTTATTGTTTAGTTAGGAATGATCTGATTTAATAACTTTTCCGTTTTCTACGAGTTACTATAATCATTGCTGATAACCTTTTGCTCTAAGATTTCCGAATTTACGATCAGACATTGTAAATGCAACAATAGCTATGACGAATTAATCATGTAAGTTAAAATGACCAATGTAATTTGGAATTTGTTTGTTATCACGTTTTTACTACCGGTTTAGTTACTACGAATGTGTAATCCAGTCTATAAGTTGCAACAAACAAAATTAATTATTAATTATTATTTTGTCTAGTGTTAAATTGTGATAAAGCTTTTTTTGGTATTTTGATCATAAGTGCAAAGGTTTATTTACTAACCTTCAATACGATGTACAGTGAGGTCAGAAATACTATTATCGTCTAACATACTGATTTATCTTGGCATTTTAATTAAATAAGATGTACCAATATTATTTTTTAAAATAATAAAAATAATCAAATTATTTTTTGAATGAATCATTCAAGACGTATTAGTATATCAAAAAGGTATGTTTTACATAAACTTTTTAGATATTTAAGAACAGTTTCAGAGTAACATCTGAAGAAGAGAGCGATATTTCTCTCGAAACGCCAATAGTTGTAAATCGACGACGTCGAACCGCTGCTCCAGACTATTAGGGATCAATTTTTATCAAACAAATATATTAATTGTGTTATCGATATAAAAAAAAATATTTATAAGTCCATGTATTCCAATTTACATATACTTTTTAAAGTCTGCTGAATTTATCCCTTTTTTAATCGATAACACTCGAAATGTGTGAGTTTTCATAGAAAATACGATTGATGTGAAATTTTATGTTTGTAGCCTCACGTAAACCAGAATTTCTTGAAAATAATTCAATTCATCGGAACTAAAATAAGGGGACCTTTTTTAAGAGTCTAGTGATATTATTCAAATGTTTTTTAAGATTGAGCAAAAATAAAAACTAAGGGATAAATAGTGGTAAACACCCCTTAAAGCCAACCCCTACATAACATGTGTGATTTGATTAATATTGTTTAAATTAATGCCCAGATGCAATGAGTCTAAGTTTAAAACGTGAATAAGATATCTCAAAAAATGATTAAGATATCGCAAAAAGTATAATATATGCCATCCCTCTTCAAAAATCTCGTTTACCATTCATTTTCGAAAAAAAAATTATACTAAAAAGATACATTTATTTTCTATTGTACTATACTTCCTGGAAGTCGATTTAAAACCACTATGTAAATGGTTATTTATATACAGGGTGTATTGAGAGACACCATCATTAAGAACTGAAGAATTTCGACAGCACTGACTATTAAAAAAAAATTATTTCATTTTATTCGTAAAACAAGTCATTTTTGAGTCAATATTTCTTTACCTGAAATAGTTCTAAAACTAACTTAAAATTTCGGCACCAACGTTTTTTTTAATATGATTGATTACAATTGCATTTGCAGAAAAATTCTATAAATATTTTTTGTGAAACGGACAGGTTTAGAGTAATTTTCTGTTTATTTAAATGTGTAGAAAGCTTATTTTAGACTAAAGAAATAATAACTGGAAAATGACTAGTTAGTCCATAATTGTATACAAAATTAGTGATTTTTTACCAGTATTTAGTTAATTTACCATCACAAATTTTATGAATCTACATCTAACCGAGATACTTGCGTATTCGTGTTGTTTTCCAGAAACTTTGACACCCTCTAAGTTACAATGTTGAACTAAGATATATTGTTTGACCCAATTATCTATATTTTAACTTCAAGACTATCTAGCAGCATTTATGTCCCTTAATTTAAATATACCCTGTATAGGTTTTTGTCTTACCTTTTAAATTGTTCCAAGTTTAATTTTTGCGTATCTACCGAATATCCTTCAGAATTTTTTCTAGATATTTTCTTTAAATTTTCCATCATTTCCTTTAGTCTTGGATCATTTTTCCTAAGGCCTGTGGCTTTAACAGCCTAAAATAAACAGGTCATATAAAAAAATATTTTGTGTAATATATTATGATATGAAGACGATTTTTACCTACCGATAAAAATTTTCCTATAGATAGAAGTCCGGTGTCTTGGCTTTTAAACATTTCAAAAAGTGCAACATCAGGCTGGACATCATGTCCACTATAAAATTATTTATGAAATAAAGAGAAATTGCGTAAAACTGCTTACTTACTAATGTAAATAATTAGTGTCATGTATAAAAGAGTAGTGCCTTCTATAATAAAAAATATGAGGTATTAAAAAGTATTTAGCGTGAAGATGATAATCATACCTTTGTTGACCACGTGCATTATAAAATTGTTGAATACTTGCCTAAAAAACGAGGGCAATTGATTCAATAACAATTATTTATAGTGCTAGTTACTTACATGTTTCCCATTTTTGTGATAACTTGAAACGCTTATTTTTAAGATATTGTGCTTAAGTGATAACCAGTGGTCAAATTGACTTCTTAATTGACTCCTATTAAAATTGTTAAGGATTCTATTCGGGAGCATGATTTTAATTTGCCGGTGATCGATAATTCTGACTAGATTTCGTAATGCGTCGTCGCAATCTGCCCGAAAACAAATTCAACGCGCCTAATTTTACACATGCGTATGGGAACGGTGCCAATTTAAAATACGCTAATATCATGTTGGTTGCATACAGCTCAAAGTTCAAATAATGTCTGCTGACATAAGTTAATACGTAGTTACACCATTTTTATATTTACAAATTAAGGGTTATGATTCTTTGGTGGATAAAAAAATTTAAATGGAGCAATTGCTCATTTCTCTATGAGTACGTTTGTGCTTACAATTATTTATATTAAATTACATTAGGCAAGTTCGGTACTAACATCTAGACGTTCCAGATGTGTTTTGTTCTTTTCTATTTGTAGGAGATGAAAAGACAAAGAGATACATCTAGAGCCTCTAGATGTCAATACCGAACTTGCCTATTGTATATAAAATAGTTTTTGATATATTACACTGCACCAGTGCAGTGTAAGAAAACATTGCGGAGTGGAGTAGCAGTAGGAACGCATCTAGAAAATGTGTTCTGTTCTAGAGGGCGCTGTATGTGGGAAGAAGTATTTTTTATTAACTCGTGAATTTGTGATTGGATGCTTTAAAATAATCCGTTACCGTTGTTAGAACTGTTTAAAGTGAATTAGTTTGAGGTTTGAGGTTGAGTAAATGTTTTGTCGGAGTGATTGTATAGGAATTCGTTTTATATATATGTATCTGTGAGTGTTGGTCTAATGCTAAATTGTTGTAAAGTGTGAAGTGAAAATAATATGACAAGATAATAAAACAATATGAGTGACAATATTTTAGTAGCGATCAAAACTCGTCCTTTGATATCTAGGGAGATATCTGAAACATTGCGGAGACAATGGGCCGTCGAAGAGAAAACTATATACCAAATAGACGAAAATGGACATAGGCTAAGCGAACCCTACAGTTTTGGTAAGTATTTCATTGGTTCCATAGAAGAATGATTGTTTCAAATTAGAGACCAGCAACTTTTCGAAGAACTGCTTAATCAACACATTTTAGCCAATTATAACATTCACATTATATACTTATCTCAAACTTTTTCTTTGTAGACCACATATTCACAGAATTTGTCAGTAACGCAAATGTATATGATCAGGTGGTCAAGTCCCTTGTGCAGTCTTTCCAAAACGGTTTTAATTCAACCATTTTCGCTTATGGCCAAACTTCATCAGGGAAGACGCATACGATGATGGGAACGGATGCGATGCCTGGAATTATCCAAATGGCCATTAACGACGTATTCGAACATGTCTCCTGTGATGCCCAAAGACGATATCTGATAAGGTAATTTTGATATTTTCATCACAGATGACTACAGTCGCAATAAAAATAAACAGAAAAAGTCTACAAATGCTTAAATAAGTTAAGTTTTAATATTTTATTCATCCAAGTGCAAGGATAAAAAAGTCATTCATTTTATAAGCTTAACACTGAAATGTTAAGATAGAAATATTTTTTTGTCGATTAGAATATACCCAATTTATTTTTGTAACTTTTCTGTTGTTAATGAATTTTAAACTCAAATTAGTAATCAGAATCATTTGTAAGATTAAAAACTTTCATTAAGCATGAGATTAGATAAAGATTATACCCAAATATTTTATAAATCTGCCAAACTAATCATATGATGTATTTGACATAAATATTTGATCCCTTTAAGACTATATCTTCAACATAATCTAAATAAATACTTATGAATCAATTGGACATCAATTAAGTTTTCTTTCATTATTGAGTGCTAAATTAGTTTATACCTACAATATTCTATTAAAAAAACTAAAATTATTGTAACAAAATAAGGTAAAGTGGAAACGTCTAAACTAATATTTGAGAGACAGTCAAAAAATAGAAGATAAAGCTGTTGTTCACTAACAGAAACTGCAGGTCGATATTTGCAATGAAGTTAGTATTACTATGAAAAAAAACTTTGGTTGTCAAAAACTAAAAATTTGAAATGAATTTGAATGCAGAGTAATAAAAATGAATGAACATTATTTTCCAAATTATGTTAATTAAATATATCAATAAAATATGTATATTCAGATTTTTGGGGTACCAGTAGATGAATCTGCGGAGATCTTTTGGGTAACCTCACTTTAAGTTGAACAATAATAATGTAATTCGTAATATCACATTTAATCGTACTTAAAATGATTTTACCAATTAAATTCTGGCATCTGTAAATCAAAACAATATCTTCACCCTTAAAACTTATTTATGAGAATTTCAGAAAATGAGCCTAGTGCCACCCTATATTTGATGTATTTAATTGCGTATGTATATATTAGATGTATTATCCCGTTTTTATCTTTATTGTAACGAGTTATTGAAATGTAATATACAATGCACATCGTCCTGAATTGATTTTGTTGTAAATTAGCGTCATTTTTAGTTGCTCCTACTTCGAAATCTATAATGAAAAAATCAATGACCTTTTGGACAGAAGTGGAAGAGATCTAAAAATCCGTGAAGACTTTTGCGGTGGCACTTTTGTTAATGCCAAAGAAGAAGTAGTAACGAAAGCCAATCAAGTATACGAGTTAATGAAAATTGGTGGTAAAATCAGAAAAATTGGCTGTACCAACATGAATGAGAGGTCAAGTCGGTCTCATACTATTTTTAGACTTGTAAGTGCTTAAAGCGTTATTCAAATAGTTATTTTATGTTTATAATTTTTTAGACGTTAAAATCTACAGAAAACAATTTAGAGAATGCCTCCATGCAGATATCTCATTTATATTTAGTTGATTTGGCAGGCTCGGAAAGAATAGCTCACACAAACGCTCAAGGTGTGAGACTAAAAGAAGGAGTCAACATTAATAAGTAAGACAAATACATTTACTTTATTATAAAGGCATCGTATATAATATATTTAAACATTATAGAATTCTCACGTTGCCAGGTGTTTTTGAAATATGTAGCGTCAGTATCAGGCAAAAACATAATTTTCATGTACCATTTGCACGATTAAATTTAACTACTAGTTCTCCAAACTTTGTAGGGCCTAAAATATTTAATAGTTTACTTGTGGAACTAAAAAGTATAAATAGTGAGTTTATTCAAGACAAAATTAAAACAATATTTAGTAAATAAATGTTTGTATTCCCTATTAGAATTCTATCCTTCTATGTAATTTATGTTTGTTAAGTTTGACTATTCCTATACATGTTTGTTAGTTCATGTCTAAGAGGAATTAGTTTTACTTTATTGTTACTTTAAAAAATAATTCGCATTAATCTAGGATCGCTTAATAATACCTTTGAAGTAAAGCAGAAATATGAAAACTAATAATAAAAATTGTATAATTTAAGAATAATTTGTAAAACGTCGGGCAAACGAGGATCGATAATTCAATATATTTTTTTAGGTCATTACTCGCGCTAGGAAATGTAATAAGGCAACTAAGCGAAGGCGAAGGATATATAAATTACAGAGATTCAAACTTGACCAGATTGCTGCAACAGGCACTAGGAGGAAATGCGAAATCGCTAATAATAGCAACTATCACTATAGCAGCTGGAGAAGAAACGAGATCAACATTAGAGTAAGTCCTTTTTAACTACATAGTAAATAATTTTGATTATACATCTCTTAATTTGAATTCCAAGCTTCTACAAGGTGTTCTTTGGTGAAATTAATACTTATTAATACAGACAGATTAATATCTACTAATTAATGTGTAACATATGATATTTTTAATGTTTAGAACATTTATTTGAAAAATAAGTTAACAGATACTCTTCAGTTCGTCGTACGTTTGAGTGTGTCTGTTCGATTTTTTACACAATCATAAATAACTTTAGGCTTCTTTTGGAGATCAGTGCGTCAAGGTCTACTAACTTCAAAGAGCTTCTACATAACCTATTTAGTGTGACTGTTATCAATATCCATAAACTTGTATCAAATATTTCATCTGGCTCAGAAAATATTAACATAACCATTTGTTCAGTTATAGAAATCTGGCATTTGAAAAGTGGCACCCTGTATAATAAAATACATTCGTGGTAAATTCCTTTGTACTACATTTTATTAAACATCATTTTATTAGTCATATTTAGTTAAAGTTTTACTTATCTTGAATTTAACTCTGATGTAATTAATCCATGTTATTTAGTTTTCTGTTTATTCTTATTACATAAACATCGCAATACATTCTTTCATTGCAGATATAAGTTGTGTTACAATTTCTGATAGAAGTGAATATCACAAATATTTTAATTAATGAATAAACATGTGTTAGTCATGTATAATTCCATATATACATGATAATGAGGTATTAGGTTATCAATTATAGTAGTCAATCGCATTCTAGATTCGCTCAAAGAGCCAAGGTGGTCAAGAATAAGCCGATCATCAACAAGTTACTATCAGAACAAGATAAACTAAAACAGTATGAGTTAGCGACGGAAGCGTATAAAGTTAGGTTAAAAAAGGAAGCACAGCGGATCCGGGAGATGGAAGTAAGTAATATTGTTATTTTCTCCTACTCATTTATTTTAAATATTCCGTTATTTATGTTCTAGAAAGAGAAAGAAGAACGAGAACAAGAAATGTTAAAACTAAAACAGCAAGTTAAACTAATTGATCTGTTCACTAACGGGCCCGACCAGAAAAACATCGAAAGTAGAATCCCTAGAAGGCACACTATGGGTCATTACGCTTCACGCATACCCCTCCAAACTATCCCTGAATCGAGAATGTTGCCATCAAATATTATGCCAGAAAAATCCTTTGGGAATGGCACAAAATCTGATCTCGACGACGAACAGTGTAAGCATATACAAGTTGTATTAGATATAAAATATTATATTATTATTATTCTTTCAGTATTTTTAAAAAGGGCGTCTCAAGTTTCCGATTATGAGTGTATGAAGATGTCAATAGAGGAAACCCTAGACGATGTCATGTTGTAAGTATGTTTTTCGAATTCGAGGAAATATTTTATTCATTTTATTAAACTACGTTTAATTTGTTAAAATTTCATTTTTGTTGTAGGCCCGTCACACCTGAACCCTCAGAAGAATTGACAGTTCAAGAGCCGTAAGTTTAAATATTTTTTAAAATTTGGTTTACGATTTTTAATTATAAAACGTTTAGGACCACACCTGCTTCCCACCTTAGGGAAAGATTGAGGTACTTGGAGGAGTCTTACACGTCTTTGAAGGAATTTACAAAATTGGAAGCTCAATGCAGAGAAGATAAAGACGTAGTGAGTACATTAACGATTGGGGTACTCGTTGAAATTAATTCTTGCGCTTTCCAGCTACAGGATCTCGTCAAAGAGAAAGAGAATCTCTTGAAAGATTTGATCGACATGAACGTCATAATCAGGGACACCAGGCAGGAGAAGGAACAAATTAAAATGAAATTCGAAGACGAAATAGCCACTTTGAAAAAGGATCTGCAGTGTGTGACGCAAAAATGTGATAGGTTCTCATTCGCACTCGAGCAAGCTGAAGCTGAAAAGGTAAGTCCCATATCTAATAGCCTTGTTTATGTTTTTAATATGTGGTGCATTATCTAATGCGGACTATCTTAATGCGTTAAGCTAAATCAAGTGACGAGTAGTGGTCTGTATTTAACTGAGTAAAATAAATTAATAATGGCAGGAAATATATGTCAATATTATAAATGTGGAAAATCTAAAGGAAAATTTCCCAATATAATATTACATCGATTTCCATCGGAAAAAGATGGTGGTGAGGAACGAGTTAAAAAATGGATAGAAAATTGTGGCGAGTACATAAATATACATATATAGGGTGTCCTAAAATTATTGACAAAATACTTTGAAAGTTAAGTATTTTATTTAAAAGTTTAATACAAAATTTTCAACTTAAATGATCTTTAAAAATTAATCACAATTTCATAGAAGTTTGCATTTTAATTTATGAATTATGTTCACCGATAAGGATAGAGGAAAGGTGAAAATTAGAGTTTACACCCTGAATAACTTAGGATAAACCGGAGAACATTTTCGTGGTCCCTGATCGGGGTCCTATTTCTTACGGCTCGGTAATTGTGATTACTAATTATCAATAAAAAGCCAATGTGTCGGTGAAAATGATTTTTCGTGGGTTTGTAAATTTTTACTGTCAAACCCCTGTAAAAAGCTACCAGAGTAACTTCGGTATGTCAGAAATATTATCAAGAATGTATATTATTATATTATATCTAATAATTTTATATCTACTAATTTCAAGTTTTCGTCATTATTGGCGCTGTAAATTACGATGTAAGTTTTCTTTTAATGTTCTTAAATGAATGCAGGAATGCTCTATCTAAATTAGTTCTGGAAATATAAGAGGTATATGCGAAAAAATAAAAAAAACATAATTTTGACAAATTTATTTATATTTATATTTATTGAAATAAAAAATATTAGGCCTGCTGCTCGCCGACACATAGTTGCCTGTCACGACATGACACCGATATATCGGCAAGTGTGAAAACATGATCATTTATTTATATGAGATTACGCATCCACCGGCATCGTTGTCGGTGTCGTGTCGGTAAATGTGAAAACGGCCATACACGGCGGCAGATCTACACCTACAGAATCAGAAGTAATCTACGCGAAATGTCCGCACCGCAGTTGCAGCGTCAAAACATCTATGAAAATAAATACCCATGCCTGTACCGCTGCGAAGATATCGCGATATTAAATTTATTCGCCTCGAAAATTTCGCTGCCACTGCGAATATTTCGCGTTGGTTTAGGGAGGGGATCCATTAAGTGGGGAATGCAGATATTCAAATAATCAAATTCCAAAAATGAGTAGGGTTGCCTCACATTTGTTTTTTTATTATTTATTTGCATTCAGTATGTTTCAAAAATTGATGTAGCGTTTTTCTTTTTTTTTTTGTCAATATTAACTGAGATATACAACCATTGTATTTACTTATACAATGATACAACTCTAAAATATGAACATTTTTCGTCCTTTTCTATAAAGTCGTGGTGATGTCAAAAGCTACGCATCGAGGTCTCGCAGGCCTCGAAAGCCTCTAAGACTGGGAATTGAGGTCATAATTTTAAAAAGGACGAAATATGTTTTATGGCGAGAACAAAATGGTAAAAAACAAAATTTTAGTAAATATTCTTGTGATATCGAGGAACTACATGGAAAAACAATTGGATATTGCGCTTCAGAGAGATATAAAACAAAATGCTTGTTTTTTTTTAATGGAACACCCTGTATATTTATTGTTTTTTAAAATTCCTCTACTTTTTCTGATTACAGCAATATACCGGATATAAAACACAAATAATTAAAATTAAACTAGATAAAAAATAAATCTAATAATATCAAGTGTTTCCTATAATTTAAACTAACACAACGATGGTATACCCCCCTTTTTCTTTTTAGTTTTGAAGATAAATTATTGCAATTTGGGACATCGTATTAAACTTCACTTTTTGACATTTTAATGATTTTTCAGTCACTTCCGGTTTCGGCGGAAATGACAGTACCTGACAAAATTCGTCATAATTTTCTGAATCCAATAATCTGAATCCACATAAGTGATTTTGAGATGTAATTTTTTTTCTATTTTAATTTTTAGTTTTCCATTTAGGTGTGTGTTTCAATTTACTTTAATCGACCCAACAATGCTACAAAAATCAAAATCCCGTCAAAAATACTAAACGATGCAATTTATTAGCAAATAAAGTTCATCGTAGAGTTTTTTGGGACGTACATATTTTTTTCAAATGAAACTATCTTTTGGTGGCACACCCTTCTTAAAAATTATAGTAGTAAATTAACGCACGTTAAAGTTCGTTCTTTATAAATAATCGTGATTATCTCCAAAACCGTTGAAGATAAGTATAGGAAACCTCTATATCAGTCGACACAGAATTTAATTCTACATGTTGATGACTGATAAAATTGTTATTGTTCCATTTGAAAAAAATTAGTTTTCGATCTTTGAAAATTACCGTGTTGGCTGCAAAAATTTTGAGGACCTTGTGCATAGCTAGGTCAAATGTGACACATTTTCGATGAATACATAACAGATACTACATACTAATAATGGAAGTATGTCCGGTTATACAAATGGTAGAGATATTTAATATTAATCGCGACGTTTCATCTATCAATTTTTTTTAAAAAACCTAAATATCTCGAAAACGAAAACCATAAAGTTTCAAGGCATGGACGTGGTGACAAAAATGACTCGAAATAACTCATAGAATCGACGAGTGATATAAAAAATGAGGTATTCCATTTAAAACAATGGAAGTATCCCACACTTGAAAGTATTTCAAGACTAAATTGAACACTGATAGCCGTCAAAAGTTTACATTTCCATTGTAACTAGAAGTTTAAATACTTTTAATGAACTGGTTACGTGAAAAACCCAAAAAATTAAAATTAACATAAAAAATTGTCTTACTTTTCATTAACAAAATATTATGCAATGTCTTTAAGCAAACATATGACATATTCTTATGTATATATTTCTGTAATCAGAAAAAGCAGAGAAATTTAAAAAACGATAAATATACACAGTGTTACGTTAAAAAAACAAATATTTTGTTTATATCTTTAAAACGCAACATTCAATTGTTTTTATGTATTTATGAAGCGGCCGTGCAGTTTACTTTGCACCCGGCCCTGTTATTGCTATATTGAAATTAATGAATTTAAAATAATTTTACCTTATTTAGATAAGAACTCAAACCGCATTAACAGAAGCTTTTTTGTCGTATCTGCCGGTAGCTAGTGTTTTACCAATTTTCATCACATGAGATGAATTTATTCCGTTTATTCTATCTACTCTGTCATTTTTAATCGTTTCCAAATACAGTGGCTTTATAAACACATCTCAAGAAAACTGTGTTTCCAAATATCTGGGTAATGGATCATTTAACTATTGAAAATGAGATGGCGTCGTATCGAAAGTGTAAAATTGAACGTGAACGATTAAATATCAAGTTTACATAAATATGGCTCCACCTTCTAACGAATTCGAAAACTAAAATTTGGTCAACTATTCGACCATAAGAAATATAATACTATATTTACTTATATACTGGTATTACAAAATAGCGTTATCCACTTGAAAGTGAAATAAAAGAAAATAGAGTCGATGTTATTTATCGCAATTGTGTGTAGGTAAACTCTTGTTCGTGTCAATGTTAAAAATTATTTTTAAATTTTAGTAAGGACAATTAAAGTGACAAATTTATTAAATCATAGTGATGTAGGTGAAAAAATTTCGAATGAAATTTGTGAAGTAATAAATTGAAATAGGGGTGAAATTTGTGGAATTAGGTATAAAGAAAACAATAGTTATTTTATAATTTCAATTTGCTACAGATCTCCCAAGGGAAATTTAAATATTTTTTTAGAGTATTTATGAAGTTTCAGAATATGTGTTTGAACCAAATGTAAACATAATTTTAAACGGTGATATTAATTTAGACTGTACCAAAGATTTTTAAACTTTCAACAAGTGAGGTGGACCACTCGCATGACGCAGCATACTTCAACAAAATTAGATCAAATTTTTACTAATGTGCAAGATGGCACGATTTATGTCGAAGATAATGCTAAACGTAAAATAGATAAGTGTGAGTTCATATTACCAATGGGAATATAAAAAAATTACACCTCATCATCAGGTCATACAAGGTTAAAAATTTTTTTAGTTATATAATAACTCAAGTCGAAAAATTTTTAAAATTTTAAACTTTAAAGAAACATGTTGCCAAACTAATCAAGTTAAACATTAAATACATAATATACGTTAAATTATTTTCAAAAATTAGATTGATTATACAGGGTGTTCTCAAAGTAGAGTCATTTATCTTAACAGCTTGTAGAACTCATAAAAAAAAGTCGGTTTACCAAAAATCGTTTATATAAAAGTGGTCAACTAAAGCAATTATTAACAATTATTAAAAAAAAAATGAAATTTAAAAACTATAAAACAAACCTGATGTATTATCATTTTCGACCACTCCGTTGTAAAAACATAAATTCTTTGTTTAATACTGGTACTGGGTATGTCTATTTTTTTTTGTAGTTGCACGGTTTTGAGTACTTTTTTCGATTTGACAGTGTAAAAATAATCCGTACAATAGTCTGTGATATTATTTTTGATTTGTGGGTGTTTTGTGCAATAAAAATGGCACAGGTTTATGAACACAATGAACTAGTGGACATAATTTTAACTTACAGGGTGTGTCAACAAAATTCAGCCACAGCATGTCGCCTGTACGCGGAAAGGTTTCCTTTACGAAATCATCCGGCTCCGTGGATGTTTGTAAATTTTGTTATAAGACTCCGCGACAGGGTATTTAAAGGAGCAATGAGGAGGTTACGCTGGAAGATAAATTGTTTATTTACTAACATGGATCTAGTGCTCGTTGTTGGGTCGTTTTCGACAATTTCTAAAATTTCTTCCTCGATCTCTGTATGGGAATTATCCAATTCTTGGAGTAATATTCCCAAAGTTAGTTTTTAGAGAAAAAATAAAATCACAAAGCGAAGGTGACACAGACTTACCTAGCTCCCGTAGTCTCCGTGCTCTGATGGCTTCTTCAGAGAATGTAGAGAATGGACAGGTCACTAGGAAAATGTCTATCTATGCACATATATTTATTAAGCGTGTGTCAAAATGAATTATTTATACAGCGGAAAGCGTGCACTCTCAGTGAGTAAATTTTGCGGGTGTATCGTCCATTGCCGAGAATCGGCGTTGTCCATGTTACCAAAAAAAGCATGCAAGAAACAAGACAAAATAAAATTTATATTTAAGTAACATAATTCACACTTATTTGAACATTTTAAACTTAATTTTAAAAACAGAAACATTTACAAAACAATCTCCATCATTTCGCGTGGAGGAGGTCTTCCAAATCGAAAAGCGTACTCAAAACCGTGCAACTACAAAAAGAAAGACCTACCTAGTATCAGTAGTAATCAAACAATTTATGTTTTTACAACGGAGTGGTCGAAAATGACAATAAATCAGGTTGTATTAGAAAGTTTTTAAATTTAATTTTTTTTTTAAATAAGTGTTAATAATTGCTTTATTTGACCACTTTTATATAAACGATTTTTGGTAAATTGACTTGGTTTTATGAGTTCTACCATTTCAACCCCCTCCAAGGGGTAGAAGTTGCACATGCATTAGTAGAAAATTTGTGTAAAATTTGACTATTACACCTTTTTTGGTTTTCAAATACAACCGCTATTCCATATATATTTTTTTAATTTTGGGAGCCCGTAACTCCTAAGGGTGAACATTTTACTAAGGTCATTTTTATACAAAACATGTTCTTTTTAGCTGTTGATTTATTGGTACTATTTGTGCAACTTCTTTTGAAAACACCCTGTATATCGTCATATCAATTTGAGTAAAAAAAAAACACAAGAAATAAGTTTGGCTGATCTGTTTTGCTGCTTCCGACTGTTTGCAAAATTAGCACCGATATAAAATATTAACTTGAAATTTTACATTATCAAAATTTTCTTTAGTCAAATAGCTAAGTTATTCCCTATTTTTATCATAGGATGCTTTAAGACTAGCAAAAGAACAGCTGTTAAATGACAATGAAGTTATCTTGGATCAGCAAAAATTGAAATATGAAAATAAACTTGAATATTTCATGAAAGAAATAGAAAAACTAAAGGAACACGGAACTGAAAATCACAAAGAAGAAATTCAGAGGCTCAGAAAGGAAAATGAAGATTTCAAATCAAATATTGTAAAAATCACCATTTACGAAGAGAAAATTGAAGAACTAGAAGAAAAATTACAGAAATTTGAAAGAAAAGAGGAAGAGGACATTGATATATTAAGTAAGTTGTATTTTTTGCAAGACATATTATTGGATGACAATGTTGACATTCAAGGTGTCTCTACGCAAACCGAAGAACTAACATTAGAAGTTAATGAAGCTGAGAAAACTGTAATAAAAGATGTTACAAATGAAACAATCACACAGAAGGTATATGAAGAACTTAAAGAGAAAATTGAAATATTAAATGGAAAACTTAAAGATATGCAAACTTTAAATTTGGCATTAGGAAACGAAATTGATGCCCAGAAGGAACAAATTCATTCAAAAGATGTAAAGATTGAAGAACTAACAAATAACTTGAAAAAAATTAATTTTGGTAATAAGGAGGAGATTCAGTACAGAGAACAAAATATATTGAAGTTGAATGAAAAAGTTAAAAATTTGGAGGAAATTCAGGAAAAAGATAACGAAATCTTACAGTTGAGAAATCAATTGAAATTCTTTGAAACAAGTAACTGTGACAACAAAAAATACATTCAGGCAAGAGATGACAAAATCTTAGAATTGACTGACAAAATCAATGATTTAGAGAAGTGCAACAATGATAATAATGAGGAAATTCATCTAAGGGATAACCATATATTAGAGTTAAAAAATAAAATAACAGACTTAGAAAAGTGCAGTCAGGTTAATAAAGATCTGATTCAGATAAGAGATAACAAAATTTTAGAGTTGACCAACAGAATTAATGACTTGGAGAAGTGCAACGATGATAATAATGAGGTAAAGGACAACCATATATTAGAGTTAAAAAATAAAATAACGGACTTAGAAAAGTGCAGTCAAGTTAATAAAGATCTGATTCAGATAAGAGATAACAAAATTTTAGAGTTGACCAACAGAATTGTTGACTTAGAGAAGTGCAACGATGATAATAATGAGATAAAGGATAACCATATATTAGAGTTAAAAAATAAAATAACAGACTTAGAAAAGTGCAGTCAAGTTAATAAAGATCTGATTCAGATAAGAGATAACAAAATTTTAGAGTTGACCAACAGAATTAATGACTTAGAGAAGTGCAACGATGATAATAAGGAGAAAATTCATGTTAGAGATAACCATATATTGGAGTTGAGAAATAAACTAACAGACTTAGAAAAGTGCAATCAAGTTAATAAAGATTTGATTCGGATAAGAGATAACAAAATTTTAGAGTTGAACAACAGAATTAATGACTTAGAGAAGTGCAATGATGATAATAAGGAGAAAATTCAAGTTAAGGATAACCGTATGTTGGAGTTGAGAAATAAGCTAACAGACTTAGAAAAATGCAATCAAGATAATAAAGATTTGATTCAGATAAGAGATAACAAAATTTTAGAGTTGACCAACAGAATTAATGGCTTAGAGAAGTGCAACGATGGTAATAAGGAGAAAATTCTAGTTAGGGATAACCATATATTGGAATTGAGAAATAAACTAACAGACTTAGAAAAGTGCAATCCAGTTAATAAAAATTTGATTCAGATAAGAGATAACAAAATTTTAGAGTTGACCAACAGAATTGATGACCTAGAGAAGTGCAACGATGATAATAAGGAGAAAATTCAAGTTAGGGATAACCGTATATTGGAGTTGAGAAATAAACTAACAGACTTAGAAAAATGCAATCGAGATAATAAAGATTTGATTCAGATAAGAGATAACAAAATTTTAGAGTTAATCAACAGGATTAATGACCTAGAGAAGTGCAACGATGATAATAAGGAGAAAATTCAAGTTAGGGATAACCGTATATTGGAGTTGAGAAATAAAATAATATGCTTAGAAAAGTGCAATAAAGAGGACATCAGTCGTTATAAGGATCATATTAAATCTAGGGATGATACAATTATGGAATTAAATAATAAGATAACTAAATTGAATGAGGCTTGCCGCAATTATGAAGATGATGTTTCCCAATGCAAAAAAGGAATTTTCCATCAGGAGCGAAGAATAAAGGAACTAACAACAGGCAAAATAGATTCTAATACATGCCGTTCATCTGTTTCTCCGTCTTCCCATGATCCATCGCCAAAAGAACTCAGGAAAATGAAACGCCAGTCTATTCATGATCAGAGACGAGGAATTGATCTTGCCGGTATGTATACATACAATTTGTTCCATTGTGAACTATATTGTAAGCATTTTTATTTTCAGTAGCAGCTGCAGCCATTGTTTCAGATGAAGAGCCAACAATAAAAACATTGAAAGAGAAAATTGAGTATTTGACCAATGAAAATAAATTTCTAGAATTTGAGGTGCAAGGGTTTATAAGGGAATTAGACGATTGTAAATTATATAATCGCGAAAGAGACAAGGAAATTGATGTGCTTCAGGAACAAATCAAAAAAAGTAAAAAAATTGAGCATTTATTAAAACAGTCCGTTTTTAATGTTTTTTTTTTAATTTTATAGTGAAAAATGTGAAGGTTCAAGAAAAGTGCACCGAGTGTCAACAGAAACGTCACTACATTAAACAGTTAGAAGATCTGCAGAAAATAAATAAATTTAAAATAGTTGACCTACAAACTAAAATTTATGATCTTGAAAATGTACTTAAAACAGAGAAAGCTAACATGGAGGAGAAAGAAAGATGTATGCGTTACGACATTACAGAACTAGAAAGAAGATTAAGTGACGGGCCTCCTCCTAAATTGGAAGATGCTGAAATACAGGTATATGCTTTTGCAATCTTTAAAACCTATGTAAAAAAATCAGGAGAAACAAACGTCATAATTTTATTTGTAGTGCGAACTGGTAAATATTGAGCAGCTATTAGAAAAATACAGTGTAGTTAAGAAATTGGCGAGGATGCGACGAAACGAGGCGAACATCTTAAGGGCCAGATTAGGAATAGACCCCGACGAACCCGTAACATAAATGTCACTCACTGTTATTCATGTGTTTGTTTTGTTAAAAAGTAGTTATTGTAGTAATTTGACCAGAGTATATTGTTTGTTCATTTTTGTTAAAATATTATTTATTCTATATTCTTGTGACTGATTTTGTGTGATAATCTTCCTCGTGAAGTGATACGGTTACGCTTGTAGCAAATAAGTATTAATAGATTTTAACTTCAATATTGTAGAGATGTGCATTTTTTTAAATTTTATTTAAATACACTGCAACATTGGTAATCCAAATAATTAAAAAATATCTGGAGCCATTGTTCGAGATCAAGAATCTTGCACAACAGAAAAAGCTGAGAAAGTTAATTGAATGGTAGCTGTAATTAAATGTGAATATTTTAGATGTGAAAGAGAAGATGTGTATATTTTAGATTTGAAAGAGATGTGTATATTTTAGATTTGAAAGAGAAGATGTGTATATTTTAGATTTGAAAGAGAAGATATGTATATTTTAGATTAGAAAGAGAAGATGTGTATATTTCAGATTTTAAAGAGATGTGTATATTTTAGATTTGAAAGAGAAAATAAAGAAATTGAAATACAGAATTGAAAATTGGTCCAATGAAAATGATTGTCTGGAATTTGAGGTGCAAGGATTTATCAACGAATTAGACGACTGTAGGAGGTATCAAGAGACAGAACAATTGGTATGCTTAAGGAACAAACAGAAAAAAGTAAAAAATGAGCATCTATTAAAACAGTCCGTTTTTAGTGTTTATCTTTTTAAATATTAGACTCTTTATTGCGACTGTAGTCATCTGTGATGAAAATATTCAAATAAGCTTTTTAGATATCTTCTGTGGGCATTACGGGAGACATGTTCGAATACGTCACTAATGCCCAGTTGGATAATACCAGGCACCGCATCCATTCCGATAATTTATGCGTCTTCCCCGATGAGGTTCGGCCATAAGCAAAAATGTTTGAATTAAAACCGTTTTGGAAAGACTGCACTAGGGACTTGACTACCTGATCCTATACATTTGCGTTACTGACAGATTCCGTGAATATGTGGTCTACAAAGAAAAAGTTTGTGATAAGTATTTAATGATGTGAATGGTTAAAATGTGTTGATTAAGCAGTTCTTCGAAATAAATTTAAAATAGTTGAACTGCAGACGAAAATTTATGATCTAGAAAATACATTTAAAATAGAGAAGGCCAATATGGAGGAGAAGGAAATGAGTATGTGCTACCATATTATAAAACTAGAAACAAGATTGAGTGCCGGGCCACCACCCAAACTGGAGGATTCTGAAATACATGTATATGCTTTTGCAATCTTTAAAACTTATGTAAAAAAATTGGGAGGAACAATAAATTTTGTTTATAGTGGGACCTGGTACATACTGAGCAGTTGTTAGAAAAATACATTGCAGTTAAAAAATTGGCAAGGATGAGACGAAATGAGGCGAACATCTTAAGAGCCAGATTGGGAATAGACCCTGAGGAACCAGTAACTTAAATATCACTTCTGTTATTCATGTGTTTGTTTTGTTAAGAAGTAGTTATGGTACTAATTTGACTAGAATACATTGTTAATTTTTGTTAAAATATTATTTATTCTTATGATGTAATATGGTTACGCTTATAAGAAATAAGTATTTAATATATTTTAACTTCAATATTGTAGAGATGTTGTGCATTTTTTAAAATTTTATTCAAATACAGTACAACATCGGTAAACCAAATAATTAGAAAATATCTGGACTGTTGCAGCCATTGTTCGAGATGAAAAATTTTGCACAACGGTAAAAGCTGAGAAAATTAATGTGAATGGTAGGTATACTTAAATGTGTATATTTTAGATTAGAAAGAGAAGATAAAGAAATTGATATACAAAATTTAAAATTTGTCCAATGAAAATTATTTTCTAGAATTTGAGGCGCAGGGATTTATCAGCGATTTAGATGAGTGTAGGAAGTACAGTGCCTTCATAAATGTCCGAGACATTAAGGAACGCAGTTGATTGGGTGAGAAAATTAAAAAAAAAATTAATGTTGAATGTATTAAATTTACCAAATTTCATAACTGACATTAACATTATGACGTGCGACTTTTAATTGCATTGTATGAAACTGTGTATAGAGATTTGCTTGGTTTTAGGAATGACTATGTTCCCTAATGTCTCGGGTATTTATGAAGGCACCGTATAAAGAGACAAAGAATTCGATATGCTGAAAGAACAGTTTGAGAAACTTAAAAAAAAACAACAGAGGCACGTCCAACTCTCTTTATGATCTTGAAAGTGTATTTAAAATAGAGAAGGCTAATATGGAGGAGAAGGAAAGACGTATGTGCTATCATATTAAAAAACTAGAAACAACATTGGGTGACGGGCCTCTACTTAAATTGGAAGATGCTGAAATACATGAATGACATTTAAGTTACTGGTCCGTAAGGGTCTATTTCCAATCTGACTCTTGAGATGTTCGCCTCATTTCGTCTCATCCTTGCCAATTTTTTAACTGCACTGTATTTTTCTAACAGCTGCTCAGTATGTACCAGGTCCCTCTATATACAAAATTCTGATAAATGTTTTGTTCCTCCCAATTTTTTTACATAAATTTTAAAGATTGCAAAAGCATATACATATACTTCAGAATTCTCCAGTTTGGGTGGTGGCCCGGCACTCAATCTTGTTTCTAGTTTTATAATATGGTAGCACATACTCCTTTCCTTCTCCTCCATATTAGCCTTCTCCATTTTAAATGTATTTTCTAGATCATAAATTTTCGTCTGCAGTTCAACTATTTTAAATTTATTTCGAAGAACTGCTTAATCAACACATTTTAGCCATTCACATCATTAAATACTTATCACAAACTTTTTCTTTGTAGACCACATATTCACGGAATTTGTCAGTAATGCAAATGTATATGATCAGGTAGTCAACTCCCTAGTGCAGTCTTTCCAAAACGGTTTTAATTCATCCATTTTTGCTTATGGCCGAACCTCATCGGGGAAGACGCACACAATGATCGGAACGGATGCGGTGCCTGGTATTATCCAACTGGGCATTAGTGACGTATTCGAACATGTCCCCCGTAATGCCCACAGAAGATATCTAAAAAGCTAATTTGAATATTTTCATCACAGATGACTACAGTCGCAATAAAGAGTCTAATATTTAAAAAGAAAAACATTAAAAACGGACTGTTTTAATAGATGCTCATATTTTACTTTTTTCAGTTTGTTCCTTAAACATACCAATTTTTCTGTCTCTTTATACCTCCTACAGTTGTCTAATTCGTTGATAAATCCTTGCACCTCAAATTTTAGACTATCGTTTTCATTGGACGAATCTCCAATACTGTCTTTCAGTTTCTTTATTGTCTCTTTCAAATCTAAAATATATACATTTAATCACAGCTAGCACTCATATTAATTTTCTCATCTTTTTCTGTAGTGCAAGATTCTTCATCTCGAACAGTTGCTGTAATAGTCCAGATATTTTTTAATTATTTGGATTTTCAAGGTTGCGTTGTATTTGAATAAAGTGAAAAAATGGCACGTCTACAATATTGATGTTAAAATATCTTCGCATTATAGAGAATTATTATAGTTTCTTGGGTCTGAAATAGAGATATTTATTAAATCTAACATTGTTAATGTCGGATAACAAATTTCCAACGAGCATTTTTTTTATTATAGAATATTAGTAAGAGGACTAAATTTTACCAAAACATTCATTAAACTATTTGAAAACTTAATATAAAAACATCTACAGAAAAACTTTTTTTAACACTATGAATACTGGGTAATGTGGATAAGTACTTATTTGTTACAAGTGTAATTTCATCACTTTACAAAGAATATTGGAAAACACCATTTTAGTTCAACAAAAAGATGAAAAACAAAAACAATAGAGAAATAAACTGGAAATTTGTATGAATTTTGCTAGTTCATAGTTTTTGCTAAGTTTATATTTACTATAATTTAAATAAAAATACTAAAAGAACACACAGGCACACAAAAAAAATGTCGAGACCCAGAGAGTAGACCCCCCCCCCCCCCCCTCTGTTTTTGGGGTCACTGAAACCGAATATGACCATAAAAAAAATTTAACTAGCCATTTCTCCGTTATCAACCCCATACACCCCCTTCTGGAAGTTGAAATGTCAATTCTCATATAAAGTCGAGTAAGGTGTGTATTCTGGGCCACTAAGAACGAAAAAGACAACCAAAAATGAATTAGACCCCCTTGTTACCCCCTAGCGTCTCTACCACCCACATACACCCCTTTCTGGGAGTTGAAATGTCAATTCTCATACAAAGTCGAGTAGGGAGAGTATTCCTTTGTTTTCTGGGCCACTAAGAATAAAGAAGTCTACCAAAAATGAATCCCTATCGTTACCCCCTAGCGTCACTTTACCATCACCATACACCCCTTTATGGGGGTTGAAGTGTTAATTTTCATACAAAGTCGAGTGGGTTGTGTATGCCTACTTTTTCTAGGCTGCTGAAAACAAATATGGGTGGTGAGGGTTGACGAGAGGGTTGGATTCATTTTCGGTAGTCTTCTTTTTTTCAACAGCCTAGAAAACAGGCATACACAACCCATTCGACTTTGTATGAAAATTGACACTTCAACCCTCATAAAGGGGTGTGTGGGGGTGGTAAAGTGATGCTGGGGGGTAACGAGGGGGTCTATTTCATTTTTGGTAGTTTTCGTTCTTAGTGGCCCAGAAAATACACACCCTACTCGACTTTGTATGAGAATTAACATTTCAACTCCCAGAAGGGGGTGGTAACGGGGAAATGGCTAGTTAAATTTTTTTTTAATGGTCAAATGCGGTTTCTGCGACCCCAAAAATGAAGGGATAGAGGGGGTCTACCCTCTGGGTCTTGACACTTTTTTTTTTTGTGTCTATAATCTATAATAATCTATAATATAATAATAATATAATCTATAATCTATAATAATATCTATAATTTTTCTCTGCTTCACTGTATTGTGTTTCATGATTCAAAATGTAGACATTTTTCAAGATCGGCATACACGTAAATTTCAATAAATTACTATTTGGATTATTGATCGATTCTAATTATGTTTGGATTAACGAACTTGCGCAGTATTGTAAACTTATCCCTAATTAGTAATTTAAAACATATTTTTTAACAAGCAGTGACATCTCTACAATTTTGATATTTAATACCTTTCATTAAATTTATAGTTATTCAAAAGTTAAACAATCTGTGATAATTGTTTGTGATATTAAACGCACTTTAAAAGTGTTTCACTTGTACAAACAAGCCTCGACTTATATCGCAAAAATCTGTTTTTGTAAATTTTTAAATCGAGACTTGGCTGATATTTTCTCAGGATGATGATTGTAGTATTTAAATAAAAAAAAGAGGCTGGATCCTACGAAATGGCATCAAAAAAGATTTTCAGTAATAGCTAGATTTAGTTTAAGGTTTATGTCGAATTTCAGTCAATATTCTGTGAATGAATACGTTTTAATTAAATACTAAAACTTTACACTTAATTACAGTCATAATTTTGATTTAGGCTCAAATGTTTTTTCTGATTTGTTGGATACAGCACTTGAACAATTTCCAAAACATTAATTTTTTTTTAAAGTATTGTAGATTTTAAAGGTCTGATTTTGTATTGTTAAAATCTTTGCAATTTTATAGTGTACCTAGTGTTAAGAATATGTAGTTCAATTTTGTATGTCATTGCAGATAAATAGAAATTTCTACTTTAAAGTAATTCTTTATTATTTATATAACCAAAATAATTTTTTACGTTTACTCTCTCAAATACTGTTTAGACGTTCAACTTGAGTATGGGGATAATAAAACAAAAATTTTCTTCAAAATAGAAGTATATTCAAACGAATTAAAAGTCTTCTAATGGAAGATAGTTAAGTAACATATATTCTTTGGCAAGTAGTTAAAGGTAACAAAGTTTTGTACTCTTATCAACAATAGCTAAAATTATTATATTGCTCGCACTTTTGGACTTGGGAAGCGAAGAATAGCTGCAAAGTTGGAACACATTATCACTTAGTACATGGAAATGAATGCCACCCTCAGCGTTATCGTTGTATCTATATCACATTTTTACAATAATAATTTTTATTCCTTCAAAGGGAAAATTACGATTCTTCACGAGGGAAATTTAATGTTTTAAAAACATTGTATTATTTGGTCCATCAATAAGGAAGTTAAATTTGCTGAGAGTATGCTCGGTTGCTACGCAGCTAGCCTAAGCCCCGATATTAGCCAATGCACGTATAAATAGTATTAATACAACAATAAAACTAATTAACAAATACTTTGAGATTAGTTTCTTATACATTTTTAAGTCTGATGAAACTAGTTGATGATTTTAAGATTTTACCACTTCTACGTATACCTTTGGTATGTAATGGATTTTAAACATTGGTAGTCGTGTTTATAGGAGATTTAATCCTGACAAATTTCACATTAAGCTAAACACTTTGACAATTATCACATTACACATGCTCATGCATATATTTATACAAAATAAAGGAATTGGCAAGATTACATTCCACATAAATACAATCCTTAATGGTAAGTAGTAAATGGACTTATATTTTATTACATAAAAGAGAAAAAAGTACATCAAGTCTTTCACATTTAAAAGAAACGTAAAAAATTGCTTTTCACAATTTTCAGAGCTTCACTGCTCTTCAAAAGGAAGACTGCTGAGTACGTTGTAGAATATGGCCCAAAAATTTTGATAACAGACAATGTTTTGGATGCTTTCATATATTATTATTACAGTACATTATGGGGAAAAAAATGTATTAATTTTCTAAATGTGTCTGATTTAGCTTTTCATAAATCTAAAGGTTCGTTGTTTTTTAAAGGAAGACGGTCATTTTAGTAAGAGTATAACCTCAGAACTGTGTGATACACACAATTATTTCTCTTTTACTTTAATCGAGTCCTAAATTAAGTTATTTTACATTGGTCCATATATAGTCCTGGCTGAATTATACTTTGTAGTAATTATCACTTCTAAACTGTATATTAGAAATCACTAACATTTTATAGGTATTCTTCTACGTCTCACTATACATTTGAATATTTTATAAAACTATTATTATTTTAATAAACTACAGAAATTCTGATGATAGATATTTTTACCTTATCCTAATTTACATTTTATGGAAATACATACACCTATATGTATTTAGAACGATGATATTTAACGGGAAATATTTAGAATATCAGTTTTTGTCAAGATTAAAAACATCATCAATGCTACCAGGGATGCCATTATAGATTTTGTTTCAATTAATAAACCCTAAGGCAAGGAAAATCTAAAAATGTAATACAAGGCATCCTTTTTTTATCAAAGCTTGCTTAGTTATAGCATCCTCACCCTGATCATATTTTTGATACGTGAATTGTGTCTAGTGATCATTTTTAGAAATAAAGACAGGGTGTATACAAATGTGGAAAAGCTAGGATTTCTAAACATTCATGGAATTTTTTCAAATTTCAATTCTAATCGGGTGTTATTTACCAGGTGCTGTAATTATATCATGTCACTGAAATGAAATCCACTCTCCTACTTTTACAATATCTATCAGTACTACTTATGTCACATATTTGTTGATTAATTGTTATTCACAATTAGTTTATGCTATTAATATTCCCATTTTCTCTTTTTTAATTCTTTCTGAACCAATTTTAACTGCACAATAGGGCAGGACCTTGGAAACTATTATTACATACACGGAAAAGCTTTAGTGGACAAAGTAGCGCAGAAAATTGAAAATAGTGTAAATATTTAACTCCTGTACTAAAGTAATTAATAATTTGACCAAAAAATATTTTTTGATTTTGTATAGTACGTTATATTAATGCCATCAGAATGTAGTTAAAAAAATATATTTTCAAATAAAAAATTATGTATCATCAAATTTTTTGTATACACCCTGTAGTAACCTTATGAAGTACAAAACCTTACCAACAGAAAATTAAGCGGCTCTTAAACTTGATTTAAGTAAACTGCAATTAAAACAGTGGTAAAACTCAGAAGTTTGATTTTGTTTCAATATATGTGCAATTTAAGCCACAGAAGAGAGAATATGACACCCCCAAATGCTCCTATATACAGGATTACATACACAGTGACTTATTCTAAAGTATTATCTTAAATAGAGTAATATAATTAGCATGCCAGTCTTAGATCAAAATCAATAAAAATCATACGAATGAAATAGAGTAAGTTATTTTAAAAACAACGAACAGGTACTTAAGTAATGCTCAAGTTCTGAAATAAATAGAGAGGTAAGTAACCGCTGATTTTAAATGCATTGGAAGATTGATAATACTGAGAAGAAAAGTTTTGTACGAAACCTGAGTTTATTCTGTCATGTATTTGACGAGTAATTATGTAGTTTAGAATAAATCAAACCTTACACCTAGTAATCGTATAGCTAAAAATGGAAGTATTTGATTAGAGGCTACGAAATTTGGAAGTTTAGTTTTCTACCTCGCTAACGTCGTTCGAGGTATTCTCTTGGCATTTGTGCCTGAGATTATGGATAGACAGATTGTCCTTTCTATTAGTTTGGTATGGACAAATCTTGCACTTATACATAATGCTCTCGCTAGGCTTCTTATGGATTAACATATGACGAGTGAGGTCATACTTAATTTTGGTGTCAAAGGAACAGGAAGAACATTTATATGTTTGAGTGATATCAGTTTGCTTATCCTTTTTCCTATGCCTTGCCAGATGTTTGGATAAGTTGCGCCTTTTATTGGAGGTGTACGAGCATTTCGGGCATAGAAAACTGGAGTTGTCCTTTTCCGAATGCCGATCTGCTGTATGCTTCTTAAGATCGAATTTAGAATTAGTTTGAAAATCACATGTTGAACACAGAAAAGTCTGTGACGATTGCTTGGTATGCCGGGCCATGTGTTTGGTCAGATTGTTTTTTTTATTTGTCGCATACGTATTACATATAGTGCATTTGTACGGTTTGGCCTCGGACTTTGCTTTCTTCTTAAATGACTTTACACGGTGTTTCTTCATCTTGTGCCTCTTTAAGTCATCTCCTTTATATGTCTTAAAATCGCACGAATCACAGTCGTATTCAATTAACCTACAAGTGAAATATAAATGAACGTTCATGGAAACTAACACAACATTTCTCAATTCACTCAGCCACCTATAAAACAGACATAAACACATTACAAGTAAGAACGGAAAAATCGTTTCGCACAGGAAAATAAAGGAATGAGAAAATATTGTCACAGACTAAATATGGGATAATTGCAGTTTTGAAGAGGCAATGAACAAAAATTATATGAAGCTATAATAAAAAAATACTCATTTAGCAGAACTTACCTAAAACTATTTACTATTGGTGAGAAAACAAACAACTAATTTTTTATATAGCAGTGACGACTTCTGAAAATTGAAGTAAGCATATTTTGATAAGAACATTGGACTGATAGCTAGTCCCATACATAAACTCTCACGGTGAAAAAATTTCAAATAAAATTTGCAAAATATTAAAACAGGTTGCTTACGTTGATATCTCGAATATAAAAAAATATTTTTCGTAATAATCTATTAGATACAATCAGGCGTTTTTAATTCAAATTTGGAAAAATAGGAAAATCAATTAAGAACAACAACACATAGGTAACCCTTTGAGTCAAGGCTTGCAACCTTATCTCAATTTTTTATTTCACAAATTATATTTGAAACTTTTTCGGCACAAAAGTTCTTTATGTGCCCCTAAAAAAAAATATGGTCATTATCAAAATATGGTCACTTTGAATTTCACCAGCCACTGTTACATTCAACAACTGAAGATGGTACTTACTTATTATCTTTGGTCTCCTTAAAATGCTTTACAATGTTTAACAATAAAAACGATTTATTTACTTTATCTATTGATGTACCCGTATTTTCCAAGAAACTTTTAATTTTGTGTTCTGTTTCCATACACCTTTTATGGAAAACATACATTTCGACAATTTTCACAGTACAAGGCTCACAAACTATTGGATTAAAAGTCAAATCCATTATCTACAAGTATCGAAACAGTAAAAATTAATGACTACCAAAATAAAGTTGAAGATACTCAAATTATGTCTCGGCTGTATAAATAAAATTCACATCTACAGAAAAATTAGAAAGATACGAAAACAAAACTACAGAAATAAAATAGGAACTGGCAACTAATAAATCTGCAGTACGGCAGATACCTACCAATTCTGGCATCGCAGATTTAATCATATTGCTCAATGAAACAGTTTCAATCTCTGTCGTCAATGTCGAATATACTTCAGTTTCAATTACGGTCAAGCATATCCGACAGATGTTGACGAAATATTCATCACCTTCGATAGCGCATAAAGGAAAGACGACTCGTAATAAACTTATTTTTTGACCTATATCAGCAACTTTATCACGGACTTTCTCTTCGCTATCTAAGTAAAGGGCTTTAAAATAATACAGATCGACTAGCTTTTTCAGGCATTCACAGCACGTAAAGGAAGTTTCAGATATTTCTAATCTCTGAAACATAAGCACGGGGTTTGTTTACATTATTAAAAGGGGGTATTCTTTCATATTTCATACCATTTCTGGAGCAATGGAACTAAGGAGAGATTTGAATTTCTTTTCTAGTGTATAGTGATCGGTCCCAGTTGATAAGCAGATGCTGCATACTTTTATGCCTACTTCGGCGCAACTCATGTTTAAAAAATAATTAAAAACCGGATGTTTTGTAAATAATTTAGATGGCAAACGGTATCATCGTTGACAGATGACATTTGATTTCTGATACATATTTCATCAGTTTTCAATACGGTTCATTTTCAAGCATTCTTCCGCCAGCGTCTCGAATCCTGGGCACGGAAGATGGCGCTTCAGGCAGAACACTATTGATTTTTCATGAAAGGATAAAGAAATTATCCTCAGAGCTGCGCAGATCTCCCACTAGATGGCAGATATACGCCAAAATAATTGCAATTAATGTGCGAGAATATACTTTTGGTTTATGACAAAATATATTTTCAAAACATCTGTACATACCTATATTGTACCGTTTCCACAAAAAGAAAGTTACTTATTTTATTAACTGTGATGCATAAAATTAAGAAACGTGACAATAACGATGCATTTCTATTTCTCCTACTCGACTAAAAGCTTGACTTCTAAAAGCGTCGTGTTTTGAATTTTATAAGGATGCGTCCAAGCAGAATATTTTAATTACAACGGGGTCGTTCTTTTTAATCCTCGAGTATGTAATATGAAATGAGAAAAATTTAGATATCTCTGTACGCCAAGTAAATAGTGGAAGCGTGTAATGCGCATTAACACACTAAGAATATAAAATTTATACCCGCAAAACGAATACCTAGCACTGAACCTATAAGTACAAATCCGTATTACGATCCGTATTTAATAATAATATTGTTATACTTGCAACTAATCAACTAATATTATACTCATTCGCTTTGCTTGGAGACTAAAGATAATAATTTTCATTTTCAGGTATGTGAAGCTGCATAAAAATATTTCACGTTTGATTTGTGGTTTATAAAATGAGTTTATTGTCTGTTGTACGGCATTCTCAATTGCAGCAGTAGTATCTCAATAAGTTACAGGGGCGCTTTTATAAGAAAATTTATGTGCCATTTGCTTCTACCCGTAATGTGTAATAAATTTATGCACCATATCTAGTGCTGTATTATTTGCTTATAGCTACCTAGAATTCACCTTTTGTAACAATTCCACAATAGGGAAATGTTACGAGGGAAGTTCAACTTTCGATTGCATCAGTCATAATATACTTATTGACAAATTGCAATTTTACGGCTGTACTCGCGAAAGCATATCACTTATTCAGTCGTATCTCTGTCATAGACAACAACAAATATTCAGGACTTCAAAGCGCATAAGTCTCTTTCTTACCGGGTACTGGGGTTTTGGGGTTATGGGGTTTAAGGCTTTAAAGGGTTATTGGGATTGAGTGGTCAATTGATCGAGGTTTTATTGCGTTTTTGGGCCTATTTTTTGAGGTTATCAAAGATCTTGACGTGATGGGGTTAAATGGACCCCGAATTTGGATTCAGCGACCCCGAAAACATATGATAGACTTAGACAGACTCCAGGGGTAATTTTCTCGTTTGTTTTTGAGGACCTATGTAGTTAACAGTTGTCCTAAGCGTTGCGCGGTTAATTGTTTCCGGCGATCGGTAAATACCCATTTCAAAAACGAAAATGGCCGTTCAACATCTACCGATGTCATGTACAATTTTTATTGTGGCGAAACATCAACTACTTCACATTTTAGTACTCCCACTATCCGCGTCATTATAAAATAACATGTACATGTCTGCCTCAGATCTGAAGCTTCGCATCGATTGATTTATTCGATCCGTATCTAGCGACACCCCCTTCGCCGTGCATTTATTTCATTGTCATTATCATTTGTGCGTGTGTGAGAGAGTTTGGCGCTTTGCTTGGACGAGTGTATGACACGTGTTTTTATGGCAGTCAGTAGCATTGTGTATTGTGAGAATAGAGCATTTATTGTATAACATCAAACGGTTTTCTTGTTATTAATTGATTGTAATGTATGATGCTGCAACTGTTTTTTGATAATTCGAAACAGACAAATGAAATATCCTGAGATCCTGTATTAGCGGTCTATATTTTTTATAGAGACCCTGTACATATAAGAGCTGCCACTGTATTAAAATTTCCAATTCCTATGGGATTTAACTATTTAGGTTTAAAAAAGACATTTTATGCTGACAATCCATTAACTGTCACAGATATTAAAGGCAAGTTTTTAAAAGTGGAAATAATGGGCGGAATGTAGTTTTCTTTTACAAATGCATCCAATTAATTGTTTTAAAGCCTCAAATGTCATCTATGAAATGTAATTGAATCTACAGAGACAACATCCGATTCGTATGTCAGGAATCACGTAAAAGTAATCTCTATCGAATCGTATACCTTTTTCTTTTATGTGGAGAGTAACTTTGACACGAAATATTTCCTTTGTAGCTAATATATCAAAGAGCATGTTGACTAAAAACCTATTTGGGTGTATCAGAAAAAGTTGTCGCTTTCAGTGCAACGTCCCTCTTTTCCTAACTGAATTATCATCCTTTCTCGTAAAAGTTTTGCCATTTACTCCTGGCTAGCGCAGTAATAGCGACGGCCCCGTATATTTTAATTTATGTCATTCTTTAACTCGTTTACAGAATGTTTTGTTTGCTTCAAACATAATCAAAATGGAAATCCAAAAAGTTTTTATCTAAAATTAACATTTCAATTATGAATATCTTTCTGCTCCATTTAATAAATTAAATTCCCCGTAAAAAAAATTAAAATTTGAAAAGATTTTATCTAAAATTGCTTCGATAACCCCATTATTCCATTTAATTGATTAATAATGCATTTTTTAACCCGCTGGTTCGATGCCTCGCTCTAAACCGGAGGCGCCAGGGGACTGATAAAAAGTTGTGTCAAATTTACAAAAAGTTTGATCTAACGTTTTAAAATTATCACGCTTAAATATATGATGTTTCCTTAACCTATGTCACGACTTCAAGGGCTTGTTTCTATAATTAGCCTGTTGGGTTTTTTGAAAAACCTGGACTCATAATTGATTTAATTAATTTAACTAAACTACTACGCTAATGAGTTTTTTTATTAATTTCGGTCGGCGTATTTAATTCCCAGTCGAACAAGAAGTAAATCCGCTCTAACGTAATACAGAGCCTTGATATATGATTACAAGCCACGTGACTGCCGAACATATGCAACCAACATTGCACGATTGGCACTGTCGACTAAAAACCTCCAAATCCTAGCGTCATCAATATTAATGACTGGTTTATAATGAACAATGACAAACCGGTGCGTTACATCTACGCTCAAGATAATGCGATCGCCGATTGGTTGAATAAAGTATCGTGAAAAATTATACCAACGCGAAGGAAATAAGATTACCGTTCCAAACAAAATATGGTCAAGTGGTTTATAATAATTTATGAAGCCTAAAAAATAGCCTCGCTGATTTAAAATTCAGGCAATTAACTGGTCGTGTGAGACGAGCGTGCATATAGTTTCATTTTATAAACAAATTGGTTATGTCGGCGAATAATTTACAAACGTCCACGCCAGTAGCATTTTCAAATAAATTCGGTTTGATTACCGTGCGCCAAAGCTACACAAATAATCTGCTAGCATTTGCTTCATTAACTAAAGCAAATACTTGGAAGCATTAGAATTTCATTATTAATACGAAAAGAGGAATTTCCCTTTACCAAAGCCTTACACTCGTACATTCGGGTAAAAGTGTTTACTGATGTCGTCTGCTACCTACCGCTCATTTATACCAAGCTGAACACATCGTTATTAGTCATGCAGTCACTAAAATAATCACATGCTTCGAGAAAATTAAATCAGATTTAATATTTTGCCACGGCATTTACTCATTCATACGCCGTCTCCCCAGCTTTAAGGAAACGGAATAACTTATCTTCAATGCTTAGTACAATCGGCATATACGAGATCGATCTGAAACTACATCTTGAAATGAGGTAAATGTACCCATTACTTATTTAGTGAGATCCGAAGCATATATACAGATCTAACGCAAATAAGTTTGCTTCTGAACTAGGTCCGCCCACAAATGCGCACCAGCCGCTATCCCAAATCTTCTAGTTTAATGCGTTCTTTCTCAATTTCGCATAGCTCTGTCTGAATAGAACATGTAATCAATATAATATTTGTTTACGATAAAAATAGGAATAAAAAACAATTGAAAATTAACACCATGATTATTTCATAGAAAACTTGTTGAGAACCACTGACTTCACTGTAGTAGTACACATAATTTAAACAACTATCCAGGGTGGCCGATTTTGATGTTGTACAGAACCACTTCCTGCTTTTTACCATTTTTTTCAACTTACGTTCATTTGGAATATTCCTTTGATCTTTCGTCAACCCACGTACCTTGGATACATCATAGATCCCTGAAAATATTAACTAAGTACACTTAAAGGCACTTAAAAGAGAAACACCGTTCGTGAAAATACTTAACAAACCATGAATCAGAATTTATAAGTATATCACTAAGGAGATATCTAACGAAGGAAATTGGTAATTCGTGAAGTTGTTACCTCGACATTTTGGGGTGATGTAAAAGAAGCATCAAACATAATCTACGCCATTTGTAAGTATTTGTGAGCTATTAATAGAATTTGAATTTGTAAGCGATTTGTTACGGATACTGATATACTGCTTACTGATATTAATAATATTAATAATATTAATAATAATAATAATAATAAATAATATTAATATATTTATAATATAATCAAATAGGCCAAATTTCAAAACCGTGTTTAAAATTATAAATAAATCAGCATTTATAAAACTTATTGAGAATTTCTGGAATAGTGGTGAACAGCTGTAAGCCGTCCGCTTTTAATTTTCCTCAAAATATGCGTATTTTATTTTGTATTTGCATTTTTTATTTTCAAGTTTGGAGCAAAATTATTAGCGACCAAATAAATTAAAGGTGATTTATTTTTTGGACTTATATTTTTGACTGTGTTTTAGTATTTGCTTTTAGTGACAGTTTGCCTGTGGTCCTGTAATTCTGAGTTGAAGAGGGTCGATAACTTATTATAAGCAGAAACGGGGCTATCGGTGAAGGCAATGGTTCCAATGTTAAAAAACCAATTACTATCAACTGTATTTAATTCAGGTGGTATCCCGGATTT